TACTCAGCAAGGTGGGTGGGTCTGTGGGAGGGAGGGAGTTTTTTGGCCATTCCCCTCATTTTTGAACAATGCAAATGAAATATAGAGTCAAATGCAGTATGCTTTACAGGATAAAAGTACATCATTTGACCCACACGTGCTGAAATATTAGAACAGAGCAGCTCATAAATTTCCTTTATCGTAGAAGTCGTTAAGCAGAGGAAGAGAATGTTACAGGAGGGGACCAAAATAGCCTGTTTGGGCAATGCAGAGGGGGTACGGCCCTGGTCTGTTTGTAGTGACAGGGGAGGATGCAGCTGAATTATGTTACGTTACGTTACATGCGCGCTGCAGTGCTTGGAGCTTGCAGCAAAGCCCTCGTGCCTCTCCCTGTGCTTGCAGTAGGCACAAGCACTTACAAAATTGGCAAAAAGATTGTGAGAGCGGGAGGTTTTCAGGAAGCTTGCAGAGCTGGAGAGCAGGAAGGAGTGGGTGAGTGAAGGGGTGGCAGCAGCAATCGGTAGCAGAGGATGGATGGAGAGGAATCGGTGGTAGCTGGGTGGGCAGAGATAAACCAGTTAGGCAGGCAGAAGCATACCAGTGGAACGGGAGGGAATGGGGTTACTGGAGGTGCAGAATGAGCCTGGAAAGCATTTGTAAGCTTTCAGCGAGTCTCTCAACACTTTTCCACTCTACTGCAATTAATTTTGCTGCTAGTCTGGGCCGGTTTATGTGTGGTGAATATAAATGAGGCCAGCAGGTTGCTAAGGTCTGTATGAAATGCAAAAATAAATGTGTGGTTCTTGACAAATAACTACTCTGGCTTGTGTCTGAGGAGCTGACGCTGTTGTACACAGTCAGATGTGAGGATCTTGATCCTGCCAACACTTACAACCATTAGCATCTTAGCGTATGCTCCTGACTTCCTTTGAGCATATATACCTATGAGTTTGAGGTGTCAGGGCTTACACCGGGCTATGAATTCTACATAGTCTACTCATTGAAAGACGGAAAAATAAAAACAGTCAACATTAATCTGCCAAGAACACTCCAGAATAGAGAAGGATCCTGAGAAAAAGTGCTGTAATGAGACCCTAACATTTTTTTTTGTTTGTTCAAAAGTACCTCCTGTTTCACAGGCAGCTTTTTGTTTGTTTTTCTGTTTCTAATTTGGTTTAACCCACCCTTTGAGGACTGAAAGACAGAAAGTCCCCACCCAGCAGAGAAAGTCTCTACAAGACTGAAAAGAGGAAGACCTATTTTGCAACCAGGGTGGTTTTCCCCTGGGACGTGCATGGTGGTGAACAGACGGAGTAACATTTTTATTGCAGGTTAAAACTTGGAAAACTTGGATTCCATTTGCCCATGTGCACACTCTGCAAGTATGTACCAGGGAAGGAAGGAGGACTAGATGAGACCCAGTATATAGCGGGGTCTCACTTGAATATGTTATCTGACTATGGCCAGGTGCCATGCCCCCTCCGAAGCCCCCTTCCAGTTTCCAAAATCAAGATGAGGCCAATGGAAACCAGAGCAGCCCAGCACCCCGGAGGGTCAGGGTCTTTAACTGTAAGACTAACTACACTGAACTGGAGATCAAGGATATTGATGAATTAATTAACCGCTTATTTCAGAGGACTACATATGGGAAGACAGAGAAAATGTTATATAAGAAGGGAAGGAAAACATGCTGAGCTGAGGGCATAAGTGAGACCAACTTTTCTCTTCAGTCACTTTGAACTGAACTCCTAATTGCTTCCATTAGTTGAAACAGTTATTTTAATAATCCAACAACTGGCTTTTCTTGCCATCAGCAGAGCATTTTTCATTTGAATAGGGGATTTGTGGAACTGGATGGAAGGACAGATCAGACAGTCCACTTTGTAAACGAAGGTACAGTGTGAGTTCAACAGTGTGTGTCACCCGGACTGCGCTCCTGTCTCTGCTGATGGTGTCAGGAGTGCTAATTGGTTCTTACCTCTTTTAGAGTCGTTTCTGCAGATGAGGCAGAGCTAGGATCAAAGGTACTGTTAAAGGACAGCCTTAATGGGAGAGCTGCATGTAGTGTTCAGATCCCACTGGAAGCGGGGACGATTCTGGAGGGCACCCGGAGACCCTCGTGAGCGTGGGCAGTGGCAGAGCTCTGCCAGAGCAAGCACAACGGCTCATTTACCTTGGCACCCAACAAATCAGGAGCTTAGTAAAGATAGAGGAAGAGTTTTGTGGTGACAATTGACCCTCGTCAATGAAACATGGAGCTCCCTCAAGTCCTGCCTTCAACCGTTCACTGCCACCTCCCTTGTGCTCCTTCCCCCACGCTGTCCACAGAAGCAACCTTGAGACGTCCCTGCCTTCCACAAAACCTTGCTGGTGCTGCTGCAGCAGGGTCATGATGCCAGATAGCGTTGCCTGAACTGCCAAGTACCATGTGCAGTTTCTCAAACAAAGGTGAGCGGCCACCCTTTGTTTCCAGGGCAGGCCCTTTGGAGTCAGCAATTTGACAGCAAAAGAATCAGTTTATTGTGAAAGTGACTCCTTCTCCCACCCCCAAGAGAGAAAAATCCCCAAACACACGGAAGGAGGAAATTTTCAGCGAGAGGCCCAGCCGATAGCAATGGTCAGATTGCAAGCAGTGGCATTTGGCCACAAAAGAGGACTGTCCTGTCAGCTCACCCATCGCCCACTGCCCTAGCCTTCTCCTCCGGGCGGCTGAGGAGCACTGGAAGTCCTGCCTGGGAAGCTGTGGTGGGGTCACAGCCACAGTTGTCTATGGATTTAACATACGCATGGGCTTTATATCCAATGGAAGTGTTGTAAAAGGTGTTTTATTAAGAAAAGGTCTGTGTCTAAGGTGGCTCACCAGTAAAGTCACTGATTTGGGAAACTTCTATAGACCAGGCAAGCATTTGGAGGAAGGGCTTTACTGCTTTACCACCTTAGAAGGCAGTAGCGTTTACTTAAAACAGTACCACTGACAGCCCTCTCTGCTTTGCTGAAAAATAGGGAGGACTCAAGCTAGTTTGTTTCTTCTGTTTGTATTTCAGTGCTATCTGTTTCACTCGTATATTCTAGATTTAAAAAAAAAAACCAAAAAACTTCATATTCAGACCATGACTGATAATGCATTGTTTGCTATTTTAGCAGGATTTAATATAACAAACCTTTGAAAGAAACCGAGAAGCTCTCACCTGCTCATACTCTCATATGTTTTAGGAAGACAGTGATTTATTAATAAGGACAGAATTCCTTTTTCTGAGTTCAAGGTGACAAACAACCCCTGGTACAAGTGTGCAGCAGGTCAGGGAGCGTCATTACAACTGGCTGAGTAAGGAAAGATCCCTGGAGTTTTAGGAACAAACAAGGCAATGTTTAGACAATTAATGGGTGAATTAAAATATACCCGTCCCAGACTCTTGACATGATAAATATGCTGTCTCCATTAGACCGCTTGCAATTCCTCTCTGCCCACTTTCTAACAGTATAAAAGCCTGATCACATTTCCATTAAAATCAAAGGCAAATATTTCAATGCTGTCTGCACAGGATGAGAGCCTTATTATGCTTCAGTAGCAGTATTTTTTATTCCACAGAAGAAGTTTCTTTAATTCTGCTTATATTCTATTCTGATCTAATAGGTGTGTTTCAAACAGAATTCTGTGGATTTAAATATGGCCCTTCTGAGGGAAAGAACTGAAAAATTCCTCACCAAGAGTTGATCTTCACCAGCATTCGCCAGAAAGTGATATTAATAAACAGGAACTGGTAAGCTGTCCTTCTGAAGTAGCATGGGGAGCTTGGATAACCTTTAAAAATGGTGTAAAGGGAGAACACATGCTGTCTGGCAAGTTGAGGTGTAAAATACGCCACATGTAACCAGAGAGCTGCACAAATTCATCTGAAATTGCAGAAGGAGACCACCACTCCCTTTGGTGACTGTAAGAACCTGTCAGCGAGGTCTCGTGCTGTGTAGGAGCTATCACAGGGCTTGGCTGCGGAGCTTAAAAGTCACTAAGAAGATGACGGGGCTGAACAGGAGGCCCATGGTGCTTTAAACTGTGGCTTTTTCAAGGCTTTTTGCACTTTTTTTTAAATTTTTTTTTCGATGCTGCTGGTTTTAATGCTTTATTCTTTTTCTCCGCTGTTAGTATTGAAAGTTTTGGTTCCTTTTTTTTTTAAGACCCCATTACCTGTAGTGTACATGCTCTGTATGGGTGTCTTGTGCACATCAGAAACTTTATTCGTAGCCATTCCAGCTGCTGCCCACATGATCGTTGCTTTCTCAAACCTGTTTCAGCATCACAGAGGAACAGCTGAACAATAGGGCCAAAAGCACTGTATGCATTTAAGAATGCTTCAGAAAAGTACCCATTAAATCATTTAGCAACAAGTTTTTTCAGCCTTGAAAGTCAGAAATGGCAGACTTCAAAACACAAAACCTCTTCTTGTTTGGATCCCTGCACCGTGAATTTGAAGATGTGAAACGGAGGGTTCAAAGCAGCTGAGCGATGGTTCACATGCCAGGTGTGGGACTTGGTTTGAATTCTTCCTCGTCATCCCCCTGCAGCTGGGCTGGGGGTGGCATTCAGAAATCCAGGTGGTTCCTTCCCAGTTTTCTGCTTTCCTAAAGAGGAACGTCTGCTTTTCAGCTGCCTGCATTATCTCTTGGACAAGACATTTAGGCTTGTATTTGGAAGCCTGAAAGATGCTGGTGCATAAAGGGGATTCCCTCTTGTAAGGAACAATCTTTCCCAGTCACCCTTCCCCAACCCCTCCTCGTTCCAGGGACTGGCTGCAGCCAGGATAAGCTGTCTCCTAATAGCAAGCGTTATGCTAGAATGCTTTATTGTTTAATGGCATTAAGCTTTATCAGTGTGAATTGGCTCCCAGATGCGTATGGCTGCCTAGACCCTTCAGCAGTCGTTATGAATAATAGGAGGATAAAGGCAGTTAATTGAGGAGAAATCCCCTCACACAGACAAAGAAAATAGATTTCTACTAAACTGCCAGCACGCCAAGGGCAGTGCAAACTTCTCTAAGGTAAAACTTGACTCTTTTACTCTACCACAGCGCCAAAATAATTCCCAAGAAGCAAAGGGATTTACGTTAGTGTAGCTGAGATTAGAACCTGGGCTGTCCTTCCCAAACTCCAAACAGAAAAAGGGATCCAGTCTTTAGACTTTGTATCGAATGACTCCCATATGCTTGGGAGTTAGAAATTTTCCTTGTTAAAAATGAAGTGTACTCCTCGCGGGTCAGCTTCTGAGTTGCTGATGCTCTGCTTGTTGAGTGTGTCAGCTAGGCCTTCAGGTCCACAGAGAAAAACACCTATTCTGGAGCTGTTGAGAAAATGAAAATATGGTTAGGAGCTAGGTATGGAGCAGCTGGATGTTCTTCATGCAAATGAATTTTATGTTCTGTAGGTGCAAGGATTTTTTTCTCAATGTAAAGTAGAACTGGATGTCTATCCCTTAAAACTTATAACCTCTTAAAACTTGCGAGACACTTACTGCTGCTTCTAAAACAAATGGGGCTAAATCTCAGCTCAGCAGAAGTCAGTGGAGGTTTGTTGATCTCAATGGAATCAAGGAAATAGACCTTCAAAGCTACGACACAAATTCTTGAAAGGAACTGTTCTGGGTTTCTTCCTTCTGATTTTGGGTGCTCAGTTAAAGGTCATCCATATTAGGTTTTGGTTTTTGAGGCAGAATGTATTTTTCGAGGTATTTAGATGTTACCTGATATTCCTATCTACTTCAGGTGGAATGATGGGTATGTTTTTTCTAAAACTTCTCCATGAAGTACCTCACCAAAAAGGGATGTTTTTTTTTTTTAAATTTTAGGTTAAAATAATTTGATCAAGACTATAAATTATGTCCATGGCTGAAACAATAATAGAAAATACCTAGAGATTGTTAGGAAAAAAAATGGTCCTCAAACTTTATCAGCCAAAGGAACAAGATCGTGCTATTATGGCAGTTAGACAGAGGAAGTCCATAGGTACTATCAATTTGTACAGTTTACCCAGGATGCTGCCCAGCAATAGTTTTGAATTCATTTTCCCAGTTAGGTCTTCCATACAAGGTTTTCTGTTTAAGGCCTGTAATCACATCTTTCTCTTCTTCATGATGCACTGCGAAGTGAGTGGCCTGTGGGAAATGAAACGCAAAGGACAGCATAAAGACAGAGTTAGATATGGCAGCATTGTGTCCTGTTAAAAAAATAATGATGTCAATACACACTGAATTATTTCCAAACCGAGAATATGGAATTTATGGTGTTTAGCAAGGAAAGCTAACGTTGGTAAAGTCTTGACTATCAGTGTCTATCTCATCCTTTTCCCCAGATTGGGCAATGTCAGCAGTTAAAGCTATGAAGCATTGAACACAGCAATTAATTATATTTCTTTTGCAATGAACTGGTTTAGTCTAAGAACTGTAAAATAAAGCTGTAAATAAAAAAAAAATTATTCCCATCAGGTACAATAATACAACTCCCTTGACCTTAAGTCCTGCCAGTTTGATCTCTGTAAGATTTGATCCATATGAGGAGATCTTGTCCACCCTCCCTGTGCAAATTTCACCTAGACCAGCTAAGCTAAGTAAAGCCAGGGAGAGAAGATGTGGTTAAGGGCATAAGTTCAGGCCTTGTGGAGTTCTGCAGCACTTTTATATGAGAAAAATATAACAGTTAACTTTCTCCCTGAGCAAAAATTTGGGGACTTTTCTTCTTTCCTTCCTGTTTTTTTCCATGGCATGTGGTAACTTCCTACCTTGCTCCTACCCCTCCCCGTCCATCTAGCTGAGCTACATTTTAGGCATATGGTAAATTTTGCAACAGTGAGCTATAAGTAAAATAAAACACCATAAACCAGAATGAGCACCTTTCCTGACTCTATCACACATTCTCCAGTGGCTCATGGAAGAGCTGCTCCTTTGTATCCCCACAGCGACCTACATGCACGGGACCAGATAGAGAACTCATGAGAGTCCTGAAACAAATATGCTGCCATCACTCAAACTTTGTGCGTTAGCTTCTCCAGTCCCAAGTGCCGTTAATTATGCTTTAAGCAGTATTAGCTGTCTTAATGCTATTTGTGTGGTCAGCTGAGGTTGCTGCTGTGAGGAAGGACTGCTTCCCAGAGTCCACAGCCAGAGTAAAGGAAGGAAGCAAGTAAGCAAAAGAAGGGAGAAAGGAAGTCCGAGTGCCCATGAGCAGCTGATCCCATGTAACTTCTGATGGATAATGCCTGTCTGCATTGAAAACCTCTGAGAGCCAGACGGAGGCCAGCATAAAGACTGTTTGAACATTTATCAAAACATAACAGACTTGCTAACATCACCCTCCGTGCATATGGAAGCGATATTTTCCACCGCATTGTTACCTGAGATTCATCCCAGCCTGTAAGGTAGATGTTATAGCTGAGAAACTCTGCGTTATTCCTCTCCTGCATTTGAGCCTCCAGAGATTGCAAGAGGTCAGCAAACCATTCAAAGGCATGAGTGTCCCTGCAAAGCCAGTAAAAATAAATCTGGAAGAGACAAGAGTGAGCTGTCAGGGGACACAGGCACGTATGGTTTGTGGTTTTATGTCTGCTGACAGAATGAGGACTGTAGAGTTCTTGTAGAAATTGCCCTGACCACGTCAGCAGATGGGTGGGCTGGTATTGAAGCTATTCAGGAGTTTTGACGCCAGGAAGGTTGTGAAGCAGAATGAGTGACTGCAAGAACAAGGAAATATCTTTCTATTTCTTTTCCACCAGTGGATTATATTTTTAGTTTGTGATGTTTCCCCACTTACATCCTTGTAAAACAGTTTGTTAGGACATAAAGAAATGATTTAGAGGTAAACTCTATCTCTCTCTCTGCTGGCAGGCAAGGTAAATTAAAGCAGGTAACAAAACCAGTTCTGTTCTCTGAATATGACCATAACTGCAAAGTGTGACCCCCCACCTCCGCACAGGGAGTTTCCAGGGGCAGGAGGGGAGAGGAGGATGGTAGCAGTGCTCTTCCACCTGCATACAGTTGCGCTCTCTGTGCTTAGGGAAGGAATGCAGTACTTGCACGGGCTGTATTAGTGCCTCGGACTTTGTGTTTCTCACGCAGATTGAACAGCATCTCCACTGCAAGTGGAAATCCCCAGGGCCACAGTCAGGATTTGCATGTGTGATTTTGCTCGTAGGCTATTTCTCCTTTCATTATATTTTTGCCTTTGACTCTCCTGCTTCCCTGCCTGCTAGGGCTGTGAGGTAACTGGACTCTTCTCGGAGGACTCATGCATGTCTGGAGCCAGATCATCTTTGCTGGACCTGTTTTGATTTGGGCTGTCGACCCCTGAACAATTACATGGGTTCTGGGAAAGAGGACACGTACCTTCTTGAGTTTTAGGTTGGTTGCATCGTGGCAGTATTTGTACCAGACAGACTTGAGTACAGATGCAAAGGGGGTGACCCCTATTCCAGCTCCAACAAGCATAACAATTTCATAACTGAATACATCCTCACTCGCTGTTCCAAAGGGGCCATCCACAGCTATCCTGAAATGGAAAATACACTTAATAAATCAATAGTGAATACTTATTAGCACCATTTAAAATAACAGTAAAAAGGTAAGCTATTTGTCTGCTACAATGCACATTTGGGCTGAATACTAGTCAGCAAAAGAAGAGGTGGCATTGATAGCAAGAAACTGTAAAGAGCCGTCTAAGGCCCACATCTATGGTGGAAGTAGTTAAGGATTGTATCACAGGTGCCACCAAATAGTTGAGCAAAATTTAAGCTTTCATAGATGTTGGTTGACTTTATTGTGGAGACTCTTTGAACCTACTTGGGCAACTTCCATGCCTCCTGGAATTCTTGCTTATCACATCCACAGGCATTGAACAAGCCCTCTGTCCAGTCTCCTACAATACGGACGTGAATGCTGAAGTAATCCTCTTCTGGAGCAGAGGTTAATGTAAATGGATGCCATTCCAGTTTAGACACTGCTGGACATTTGACAAAAATGTATTGCCCGACCTCCATCTTGAAGCCTTTCTTCATCATCTGGAGCTCAATTGTCTTGAAGGGATGAATGACCACCTACAGTGAGAGGGACAAGGGAAAAAAAGGGAAAAGAAAAAGGCTGTCTTCACTGTTCACCGCATGTATCTATATCCTCCATCACTAACATCATGCTCTGCTATGACAGCAACAAAAGCGGGTGAAACTTTGTTCCCAGCAGAACTGGGAGTGAGGAACAGCAGCTGACAGCCAGATGAAAGACTGCAGAAGATGCTGACTTTTTGGTTGAAGTATTTTTTCACACCATGCTTGCGGTCGCTCCAAAAGGGACACATCAGACTGGTGCATCTTGTAGCACATCACCAGATCTATGTCTGCACATTGTTAGTTCCAGATGTACCTTACACAGTGGCACAGAGCACAGTCTTAATGAAGCTGACTGAATATATAGGGGCAAAACCATAGGACTAACATATAGATAGGGAATTGGAAACTGGTGTTTTCGTGTTACGGCTGGGTGGGACCTATAATATGGGCATTTGCATTCTGCCAGTCTTTAGCCAAGAACTGAAGTAGAAGCAATGTTCTAGAAGCAAGGCCAGTATTTCCATCACTGTGATTTTTTAATCCTAAAGTTGTCTGCCAAGGTTATCTATGATTATTATTTATTTTTCAGAAGAGTTGTGCAAGAGGGACAATCAAGTCTCTCTATCTATTAATGTAGGTATGAATAATAATGCTTAGGATTGTGGAAGAAATTTTCTGCCAATAGGGTGCTAAGCAGACGCCATAGACATATGGTGTAGAAACGGCTCAGAGATATTTTGGTAAAATTAAACAAAAAGCACACTAGTATATAGGAGCCTTCCAACAAGTCAGCTCCATTCCAGGGCACAGTAGAAACATCTAATGTCACCCCCCAAACCCTGCTATGATTTGAACAGGTTATGTCCACAAGATGCAGCACAGTGCCATGTGAGGAAATTACACTGGGAAAGGCCAGGGTAGTTTTTATGTTTGAGCTTAGTGCCATGCTAATTTAGGTGTCAGACTTTCAGAACCAGAGTTGATACCTCTGCAACACACCATGGGGAACAGAAGCTCAACATTAGCTTTGGCTGCACAAGGTAGGCATCCCTAACTCTCCTTTTCAGGAGTCATTTGTTCTGCTGAAAAAATCAGAATTCCTAAATATCTCAGTAGTTTTGAAAACAAAGATTTGTCATCTTAAATTACTCTTAAGGTGGAACTTCTACATTGTGGAATTTTTCACTCAATACAGAAAATTAATTAACATTCAGTCCTGTGCCTTAGGATACTTCCTCCTCCTGCCCTCTTTTAGAGGCAGGCTACATTTAGATCTTAGAGGCTAGCATCATGATAACAACCAGAACATTTCTTTCTCCGATGACATTGTCTGTTGTGTAGGAGCCACTGGCTTTGCTGCACCATTTGGAAAATTGGTAATGTTTTGCCTGGTGTTAAGCGGATCACCAACACATACCTTTGTGATAACAACCTTCTGCTGTGACCTCCAAAACCGCACCAACCTCTCACACAGGTACAAAAACATGGGACCTACTACCCACTTCCATGTCTGTAAGCAGAATAAAATGAGAAGTCAGATGATGAAGATGGCAACTTCAAGTCCTGGAAATGCTATGAGGAGACATGAAATTCAAGTAATCTAGGTTTCTTAACCAGAGCAGGGAACCTAGAGAGATAACACCTTCAAAATTACTTCTGGTCAGAGAAGGAATTTCTTTCTCTGTTGAGAGTTGCAGCTGGCTTTTTAGTTGCTACTAGAGTTATAGCAAGGTATTTTCCCATGAGTGATTTTGCCTCTCTCTAAAAAAATGAACGTAACTAAGTGAAATGTGGAGTAAAGCTCTGAATGTATTATTGATTCAGGTCTGTATTACTGCTGGAAAATATGTGGTTTCTGTTAACAGATCAGTCTGAAATGTGAACGAACAACCAGCCTGGTTAGTCAATAAAAACAATTCAACGTCACACTTCCAGAGGCATTAATTTTCTGTTAATGATTATTAGTTCATTAATAGTGCAAAACTATTTATTATGTGGATTATAGCACTTTCTAGAAATCCCCCAAAGCCACAAAATACATTTTGGGTAAACAGTTCTCAGATATGATTTGCTCTTTTGCTTTGCCCTTTAATTGTGCTCATTTTACGGCACACTGTTAGTGGGTTGTCTGTCTGTCTGTAGTGCATTTCTGCTTATAATCCATTGTGTCAAAATCTATTGCTTTATGTAAAGAAAGCTGCCACTGGAGAGCACTGGGCATTATGTAGCCGCTTTTCTACAGCAAGTGCATCTGTTATTTAACAAAAAGAGTAAACCGTAAATATTTAGAGTTGGATTTACACACAAAGCAACTGTTCTTACCATAGGAGGATTCCCTGAAAACTGGGGGATTGGGCAAGCCCCCTTCTTCCCCCAGTGAGTGAAGTTCTTGTAGCAAATCTGTGGATTATGCTCATCCAGACTCTCAGCTGTCTGCCCCCGTACAATACGCCTGGAAAAAATAAATCAGTAAGGCAATGAAATGAAAAGGAAGGTATCTGTCCCTTATTGTTATTCTATTTATGTACTACTCTGTTTATGTAGAGCTGTGGACTTCTGCAGTGCTACAGCTTTGATACAGCTTTACTGCTCTAATCAACCCACAAAATTGCTATTAAAGCAATAAAAATGGGGAAGAAAGTTTGTGGGGGAAAATACTGACTACAAGATTAGACAAGGAACTGAGAGGTATGTCCATTACCATTTCCAGGATGTGCTCACAACAGGAAAGCTTCATTCTTTTCAGAGTTATCCTACTTTTTTCTTCAATAAAACCAAAACCTGGAGTAGGCAAGGTAATCAATTTCCTAGTGACCAGTACAGAAATTATTTCTGTTGTTTGTCTTAGAAATTTGGAGAGCCCTTTCCAACATACATTCTTCCTTTGACCCTTCCTCTCCCTCTAAAGCTGTGGAGTAGCCGTTCAGCTGGCGTGAATGAACGCGGATGCTTCTGATGCAGAGCAGCTATGCTGGCTATACCACCTTGGGTCAGCTGATGGTCTGGCCTCTGTATTCTTGCTTGGTTAAGGGGGTTTTGTTGCTGTTGTTTGTTTTATTATAGAGAAGCCTGACTGCTCCAGTTCAACTGCCTTTCCAGTGGCAGAGCTAGTGCTGAAAGACCGTTTCAGTTTTGAGGGGGAAAAATACATTCTGATCTTGTTCACTATTTCCAGCCTCTGTCTGGAGTTCTGCTAACCTCAGGGGTGTGTGAGGGTCCCACAAATGGTAGTAATTAGTAGGATGAGGGTCACAGTAGAGAAATTCAGATTAAGATCTGCTGATTTTCCCTAGAAATGGTCTAATTCTGATCAGGCTGTTCAGTTTTATGCATATGATTCTGTTGATATCTCTTGCCGTGGCTTTTCTTTCTGCTTTTCTGGCTCAGTTTCCATAAACTAGACTACATTTCTGGTGTTTCAAAAAAAAGTGGTATCAAAGTCATATGTATGCCTAGCTTTAAGTGACAGATTTATCAGAGGATTGTTAGAAAGCCTGCACACAGTCTTGAAAGTTAAATGATTTCACTGCTCATAAATATTACTAATGAACCTCTTCCTCATCAAAGGTTTGATTAACATCCTGCCTGAAAAATAAAGGGAAGGAATGACATTGTCCCAGCAGTATCACGAGTTGCAATTTGGAGGAACATCGCCCGTTGCAGTTTACTTCCCCACTAATGACAACGGGCTCAGCTGAGCCGCCCCCTGGGATGAGTTTCGGGAAGAGGAGGAGACCATTTCCCACCACTCCTCACCCCATTGCTTAAGGGAAAGCGGGCTTGGGGGTTTTTGCCTTGCCCCATGCGCTATTCAAGGTTTGACAATGCCAGTACCCTCTACAAGAGAACGAAAAGACTTATTTTCCCTTCTTACTCAGTGTAGATGCCCTTCCAGTACTCTAATTAAGCTTTCAGTAGTGCAGCCTTATAATTACTTCTTTTTCAGCTGAAAGTTTGACTTTAGCTTCCAAAGCAAGGCAATCTGCATCTCCTCTTTACATTTAGTGTGATGGGAAGTTTGGGACATTTGTCTGTGACACATAGCTTATGCACAAAAAGCGTCAGTGCTACAAAAGTGCTGTAGCAGCTTGTAACAGAGAAGCATCTGCCCCTTTGATTCTATTAATTATCTTTGGTTCCATTTTCTGTATATACATATATGTACATATGTACATGTACGTGTGCATGACACACAGCCTTCTGCCTCCTGAGAGAAACTGACATCTATGCCTCTCTTTAACATGCTACTTTGAGAGTCTGAGATCATACTTATTCCATAACATCCATCTTCGCACACCTAAGATGCCTTCCTTGAGTGAAAAAGCTTGGCCAATATTTCTCAGTGTATTAGTATTTTCTGTAAACTCAAAATGTCATTCTTGCCTTTAAGGCCTAATAAGTGAGGCCACAGAGTTCACAGCCGGAAAGCATCCTTCCCTCTACAGATAAGAATATCCCTGTGTTTATCTCCCTCCAAAGGCTAGCTGAACTTCTCTGACAACCACGTTCAACCCCACTGGTGCCCAAACTCTTGTCTTTTCAGTACAGCACAATTAAAGTTGTGGAAGTATACTGAACATCCAAGTAAACAAAAAGTCAACTTTTATGAAGTGTATGCTCCTCACTGACCTCTAGAAAGAGCAACGCTTGCTTTCTGATAGCATTGTGTAGTAACTACTGGCCAGTGTGGACATTTTGTCAGTAACTATACAGTATTTGCCGTAGGAAACATGAACCACTTGTCCTTTTCCTTCAACAGGTTTCACTCAAACCTTCTCCTTCTTGTTTTGGAAGTTGGAATGGACAAATCTGCTGGTGACGATTCTTATCTGCCTTCTATTTTTGTTCTTCCTGTTGTACTCTCATTTCTGTCTTTTTTTCTGGCAATACTGGACTGAGAGGAAGTGGTTTTGAATAGTCATTTTTGCTGGGCATTTTTAAAGCACACTTTCTAGTGCACCTAGAATTTCCTTTAAAATGGACAATATAGAATAATTATGATCTATGAAATGTGGCTTCAATACTTTAGCCTTTTTTTTTTCTTTATGCATCTGTTCTATGGCTTTACAAAATGGAACTAAGGTTCATTTTTCTAAGTGCTAAAATTGTGTTTGCATAGTGCTAAAATTGTTTCATTAGGCTTTTCAACTATTTCAGAAGAAGATATGGCATGAACCAACAGTGGAAAAAGATGTTTGGCATTTGGAAGTTACGAAAACTTACAGTTGCCTATATTTGAACTGCAACAGCTAAAAATCTATTCTGAAATGTTGCTGATATTAAAAGTTCATCCAAGTCTGAAAGATAAATCTGTGTTATTGTAGTTTTCATTTACCCAACAAATCCTAGACTGTATCATTTTTATGCTGAGGTCTCTTTACATGCATGTCTGTGATGCAATTCCTTTTAGGAGAGAAAGATAAATTAACAATTAGAAAGATGTACCTTGGAAAAGAGCTTTCTAATTAAAATATCAGCAGAAGTTGAATATCAGTGAGCTTAAGTATGCCAGAGTCTCATAAAGCCTCATGCATGTGAATAGCTTGTTGCACGTACCAGTAAGAGCCTCTTGGCTCGCGGGCCTCTTAAGGTCTTTGTGGCCCGGGAGCCTGTGTTGGCCCATCTTTACCATCACAAATAACTGCTGCTTAGTGACTTAAGTCCCTATACTTCTGTGTGTAGGGGGCTTTACATTAAGATATGGCAGCTATCACGTATTGTGTGATAAGTGCTAATACTCACCCAGCACCATGGATGACAAGGCCAATAAAGAAGATGACAAAGAGATGGTGAGTGTACCAGAATACTTCGAAATATGACCTTCGGATGGTTTTGGTAGATGACGTGATGATTAGTATGAGGGCCAGCGTGATGATAACACCAGTGAGACCAGCCAAGTAGGTGAAAGCCACGTATAGGCCTCCCACAGGGTTCTGTGAAATAATCACACACGTTGGGCTGAGGAAGGGGTTGCATCGAAGCAGAGCCAGCTGAACCATCAGTCTGCCTCACTTCACCTTGTTGTAAGTCTTTAAGTCATCTGCTGTGAATTTGTATGCCAACTATGCCAAGATCCCACTCTATTTTTGTTGCAGTGCAGATTTACCTTCACTGAAGTAAGTGGAAGGAGAGAGAAAGGGTTTTCCACTGATTCACACACCAAATTTTGTTTCTTACTCTGCCACAGCTCAGCAGTACGGGCTTGGGGAAGGTGAATACATTTGCACAGCTCGTGTTAAGAGCAGAGCCCTACATCCATACTTAGGGAGGTAAATGAAAGCTGTCCTTTTCAGTGGCGTGGTGCAGCTGTGGGTCTCGTAACTCACACAGAGACTGGACGCTCAGTGCTTCTGAGGACTGGGGAAGTTCCTTATTTTGGTGTGGTTTGTTTTTTTTTTTTTTTTAACTAGAGCTTAAGCAGCCCAAAACTTTAGGCTTGATTTCTGTGTACTTTTATGCATGCCATGTCTGTTAAGTCAGAAGACTGCTTTACTGGGTATTTGTTTTTACTTAATGTTTTAAAACTACTTTGAAATCCTCAGGTGAAAAAGTACTACCAAAATTCAGCCACAGTGTTACTGACAAATATAGAAGAATGAATTATGCAAGGTTTTGCTGCAAGATGGCCCAAACCCAGACTGTGCACACCAGAAACAGGTGCTCTGCTCAAATAGTCTTATATGATCATCTAAACAAATGTAATAATGACTCTTCAGAGCCTGATGTCACTTACCCCAATAGTTTTTCTGAAAAAGTTGATATAGCTTTCATTTGCTTTATCACCAAGGCTAGAAAGCACAGCGGCCAGAGTCCCTTTCTCTTCAACACGGGCTTGCACACTCCACTCTACGTTGAATAAGTGTGCGATGGTGTGAATTGCTGGGAGTGATAGGGAAGAAATAATCAGTGTTGAGCATCGGGCAAGTACTCAGTGGTTTGGGGTAACATTTGAAACTTTGTACCATTTGTCCACTGCAGCTTAAGACCTTTGCCACTCTCACCCTCTTCATCACAGTATCAGGTCACTGACGTGTTTTACTGCTAAAGCTTTACCATCTGAAGTTTATATCTTTTTGGGTAGGGGAAGGAAAGAAATAAAGGGAAGTTTCCAGCACATCTTTGTTCAACAAAGGCTTCAACAATTCAAGTAGTAGTGCCCTAATACATGGGAAACTGAAGTATGAGATAGCTTGAATTATATATCAGGATCATCCAGGATTTCTGTAGAGCGCCAAGAAGTGAATCTGGATCTCTTTGGTGTCACATTTGCTATTGCTGCCTTGTTCTGCTAATAATCACTAATAAAGTTCTTGCTGAGCTGGACATGTCCATAAACCTGGTACAGTTGAGGTGTTTCACACTACTTCCACTACACATTATTGCAGGGGTAAGCTGTACAATGCTTTTCAAAAATTTTCCCCTTTCGTACCACCAGATACTTGTTCACCTTCAAAACAGGGCCTGATGAGTACAGATCTAACACCCCCAAACAATCCATCTCTGCTGCAGACCTCCTCTGTGGCTTTATCACTGCATCACCCTGCTCCTTTTCTCTGAAGCGGTGGGGAGATTTCAGCCACAGCCCAGAGGGGGAACCTGCTCAGCTCAAGTAATCTACTGCTGCAAAGACTGTTCTAGGAGATATGATTTGTAAGGCACTTGCATCAAGAAGTGACAAATTTGAAGAAAAAAAAAGATGGAAGACCCTTAGTTTAGGAAATGAGAGATAAAATATGAAAACATTTCCATGGCCTGTCCAAGCCTTTTAGAATGTTTTCTTTCATCATTTCTATTATTTGTTTCAGACATGCCAGCTAAGAAATAAGTCTAGACAAGAATTAAAGCCAGGGTATCTGGTTCATAGGGCATTGCTAAACACTCTTTACTAACTAGTGTCATAAATGGTGCCAACGCTTCAAGAGATAAGTATTCTTTATCTTTTGCTGTCAGTCGGTTGCAGAATAATATTTGGAAACTGATTTAAGCCTTGGCACACGCTGACTCTTTTAGGTTAACTGAAATCAAGTCTCTGCCCATATCCTTAACAACTTGAATCCCACCTGGATTCTGTGTAAAGTGCACGAGAAAGCAATAAACAAAGAAACATTTGAGTACCAACCAGTGTGAAGGGCGATCATCCATGCCACCATTTTGTGAAAGGTGAGGTTCCTGTCCAGCTGTCGTCTGACACGGGTAGAGCAGCACTTGGAGTTTGAAGAAAAAAAGTATTTGAAGACTATTCGTGATGTCTATGCATACTTATTTAAATGCAGGGACAAAAACAGAGGCCCTGAGCACAACAATTGGTGGCATTGCTAGTAAAAATCTAGAATTCCTAAATACAGACAAAAATATTTCCCCCCACATTTCAGAATATAGGAATAACAGATTAAATTTTAACATGTCCCATTGAAACAAAGTATTTGATAATGAGAAAAAACATCCAGTATGACAAAAGTATGTATCTTATCTGTGTTAAACTACATGTTATAAACAGAAGAAGGGATCAGAGTCTGCCATGGCAGGGTGACTGCTTTGGTAGACTCTCAAGTTGCCACCTAGCATCAGGATCCTGTTGTGGTTCACACTGTAGAGATGGCCTGTAAAGTTTGGGTATAACTGTTCAGGGAGCTCCCACCCCAAATGTGCTAGTCACTTATGGTCGGTAATGGTCGGTAATACGAAGTAATTCCTTCCCCAAAATACTGGGTGTACTTGCCGGGCATTCACTTACAACTTGTTGCTGGAGTTCCCCAAAAAGAAAAAGAAAGAAAAAAATCTCTGCTGATACAAGCTGAAGAAGTTGGTTCTTAAGAACAACGGAATGGTACTTTCATTAAGAATGATGACAAGTTCCTAATTGGCCCTGTCTAAATTGTGCTGTAATCAGTGGGAGCTTTCCTATAAGTTCTTGTAAAGCTAGTATTTGCTGGCTCCACACAGTAGAAAGCATGATTATCCTGTATTGTATCTTTATAGTGCTTTTGCTGACTGGCAAAGGGAAGAACACACTATGCAACCGAACATTGCCTCACAAGAACCATGCAGATGTTTCACACAACAAATTAAGAGAGACCAAAATATTCTCCCAAATGTTTGCTGGACGTTAACTTTGTAGATGGCAGGGTAAGGTAATGTATCTTCCCAGCTGATAGGGTGGAGCTGATCATCCCAACCATCCAGGAGTGAAACAGAAAAAGGGACGATGAAACGCTGGAACAATTTAATTTCTGATCTGTTCTTTACCTGGTGGAGATATACCAGCAGTGGCCTTACTCTTCCATACCAGTTCATTTCTAAATATCCCATGAGTATTAACTGTACAGGTAAATAGATGAGTAGGAAACAGTTCTCTCCATCGATTATTGTCCAGCTGTGATATTGATTAAAGGGCAAACTCTAACACTCTGGGGCTACTGCAGTGACTTCAGTAGACTGTAACAACAGCCAGTCAAAATCTGGCCTTCTGTGTATACTGTATCTTGAGACACAGTTGAAAAGATTGTAGAATAAACTGTAGCATAGTGAGGAAGTGCCAACTCTGCTTGACTGCCTTGCAAAACCCACTTGATCTTTCTGTTTAAGAAGGAGAAGGCCAAGCAATGGCAAAATGCTGTAGCTAGGTTTGGTAGTGAGGCTCATTAACAACAGTGGTGAATACAGCAATAAAGGGCATGCAAAGACAACACGGCTCTTCTTTCAATTAATAACAAAGAACTTGGTAGCATATGATTTCGGGGTGACGAGATGTAAAGAGGAAGAGTTTCCAGCACATTCCTATTGAACAGTGGGTTTGAACAACTCTCCCCTCTCCTTAACCCCAATGACATTGCTGTTGGAAAGGTCCCTACCCTTTCAATAAGTTATTTGACATTTCAAAATCCTGATCTTTCTTAAGAGATCCTCACAGGTGTTACTTGCCGAGCATAGCTAATTAGAGACAACGGCAGAACACGCACAAGCGGCTGTGCCCCTGTGCGAAGGCCACCACAGTGCCGACACTGCCGCCGGCACACTGGGCTGTGGGGCTTTACTTAAGGTATAAAACCACCTCCTTTCTGGGGTATAGCTTTATTGCAAAAAGCAACTGAAGTTAAAGAAACACCGACTGTCTAACGGGTCTGGTTTATGCCCCTCCCTTGCCCATCCTCGGAGCCCTTCGCTCCCTCATACGGCCGAGCACCACCAGCAAGCGAGCGAGCTGCGGGCAGGCAGCAGAAATGGCGCTGGAGCTCTCTGCGTGGTTCTCACTTGCAAACTGGGTGTAGCCTGAGTGACTCTGCCACAGTGCCCAAGGCAGAAGGACTTACTCTGTAGCTTGAACACTGAGATAAGAGGGACAGCTTCATTCAAGGTCCTGGTTAGAAAAGTTAAGCTATGGATGTTAGGAGGCGAGCAATTCAGGACAAGTAGCATGAAGTCCCGGCTGGAGTACAGCTCTCAACCCTTGGAATCAGTTTTTAGCCTTCCAGTAGTGTCTCCAAAAGTGTCTTCAGCTCTTTCAACACTTTGACCTCAGAAGACCTCTGCCCAACCTGCTTTCAGCTCGGTCCCTGTGGAATCTGTTTCAGAGGCCTTGTATGATCAAGAGCTCATCGATACTTTCCAGTTGCATCCATCCAATAGCAACATTGATTACTAAATTTATGTTCATTACTGACTTCTGCGGTCTGGGGAGTCAGCTCTGAATTTTGGCAGATACCAGTTGATTTTTCTCAGGGCAGAGGAAGAACAGCTTTAACCCCCCCAGTTTCACTTATTATTCTTTTTCTTTTTACATATATGGGGGATATGGCTGGCAGGTTTGTAGCATCCCAGAATCTGAAGGGGTATAGCACAAGACTGAAAGCCTGGTCTGTGTAGTTCCAGCTCTATATTCCTAAGTGTTATGCCTTAAAAAGGCCAGGGCACTGGCCTTAATCCTAAATGTAATTTAGGAGCTTAATGTGGCAGACACATCTCATTTATTCAGCCACACTGACTGTCAGGAAATATGTACTAGATGGTTGTACAGACTGAGTTGTCTGATTATTTTCTTATTACTTTGTATCCCACTCTTTTCCCCTATGAAGGGCTCGTGAAACACTGCATCTATGTTACTGCTTCCTCTTCTGCTCTGCTTTTTCAGCTCCCATGGCCTGGCTCATTTGCGTGTAAGAATTTTTACTAGATTTACAGATGAAAACCAACTTCTGTGAACTGGTTTTGTTTAACATGTATATATTGAAGAGGTTAGAAAGAAAGGAATCATTGAATCATTATATATTTGGAAGGACAGTTCATGAGCTTGAGGAGAATATTGCTTTTTCACTGCAGCATGGCATGCATTGTCTGCATTATTTCTGCTGTAATGGCCAGAGATCTAGATTTCAGCAGTGTGATACAGTCAGTACTATCATAGGAAGCCTCCTCAGCTGTCACTTAGAATCAGTTGTCCTTTTCTTAGTTAGTTCCTCAGTCCTGTATATAACATTTGCGTTTGGGAGGTAGAAATGGTCAAAAGGCCTGCGAACTATTTCATCCTGAGATGGAAATGCAACTTGGACAAGAAAGAAGGTAATTTATGAACCAGTTGAAAAAAGTCCCATTCTGAAAGTCTGCGAAAGACTTTTTAGACTTTAAATTTACTTTAAGAACTGAACATGCAAAGACAGAAGACATGGGCTAATATCTCCCTCTATAAATTGGTGTTGCATCGGTGACAAACAAGGCAAAGGTGTGTAAGCATCACCAATGGCCGCTGCCAGCCGAAGAGGGACTTTGCAAGAAAAAAGGGAAGACTCAAAGGAGGCTAATTCAAGGCTAAACCTCTCAACAGAGCTCTAGACACACCATTGGCATAGAGAGCTCAGTTGTGCTCACAGCAAAACTCCAGGCTTGTCTGCTTCTTAGAAGAGGACATCTCCAAAGTATAGTGTATTTGGGGAACTTGGACGAAGTTTCTTGGTATATTTGCAAGGCTGCTTAGGATAGTCTCTTTCATAAATTTTGAAATTCTTTCTTCATCTTACCGCACTTGATCCTCTGAGGAAGGAGAGCAAGTTTCGACATACTGGCAGCAGAATCAGCATGCAATTGAAATTCAGACAAGCTGCTGGGGCCCTTGCCAGAGCCAAAGCACGCTGTAATTGGAGAGATGGTGTTATTAAATGCGTTACTTAAGACCTTATCTAGGACATGGAGAGGCACAGATTTCATTTATGTATTATGTCACAACTTTTCACGAGTGTGAGATCTAGAGTTAATCAACAATGTTCGCATTTCAAAGTAGTCATGCTCTGGCCAAGTCAAAGACACATATGGAGGCAGAACACATTCCTCCAGATAGGCACCTTCTGTTTGCAGTTTTGAAATTATACGGTTGTACAAAAAGCTGACTGTCACATCTGGCAATCAATGGCCAAGCACAGATGCGAATCTAAGCCACTAGTAGAGTTTTCTGTCCCAAGGCTGTAAAGAAAGCCTCACTGCTGTGGTTTCAGTTGCCTGGGAGGTTATAGTAGACAGGTCAGCTTATGAGGGAAGCGGTTTTATGTTCTCTGTTGTCAGTAAAAGGAGTCTAGGGAAATTTGTTGCCTCATCTGTTAGGAGTATGTTCCCTTAATGTTGCTCTTCACATCCTGAATGATTTCAGATTTTTGAACAAAGACTGTTTGAAAGGAGGGAATAATGACCAATTAATCCAAACACAATGAAAGGAAGGAAAAGATAATGTTTGCTCTCCTTGCATTGACTGGGACCCTTTCAGGTTTCAAATCGCAGTTATTGACTTGGGGTTAAATTGAGCTCTAATCATCCAAGCACTGATCTCTGTGACTTCAAAGGCAACTGCACCATGATTGCAAAGGACAGAATTTGATCCATAGATCTGAAGCTGTACGCAGAATGGGATTTTGTGCTTTGTTGAATTAAACCATGGCTTTGCAAACCTTTTACAAAGTGCTGTGTTCTGTAATTTGAAGCTTAAACTGATTTTTATGTCTGTGATCAGGCTTTTAAAATATGTGAACAAATTAATTTTCTCTGTCAATTGGTCACGACCCCTGGTAGCTTTGGAAGCAGGTTTGTAGTAGGACACATAATGCTGCATTAACCAGTTGGATTATATTGACTAGCCCAGGGTCCAGGATCACTTCACTACTTGACTGCTATTCACACGCTTGATGAATATGTGAATGATGATTGCTTTTCAGAGCTAATAGCTTTGTAAGCTATTCATGCTATGAAAAATAATTGCAAGGGGAAATGATTGCACAATAGTTCAATGGCAATATTTTATTCATCTCCTGATTAATAAAGCAGCTACAATTCACATTCACTTTAATTACCAGGAGCATAATAGTTACCTGGAAACATCTTTAGAATGGGATCTCTCTATTTTGTGTGCCAGCTTTCTATTCAGAAGCGCTGGACAACTGCACATTCAGTTATCTGTTTGCACAGGACTTTTAACTCCTACATGAACCTGCTGCTCCAGCCACTTGATCCTGTTTCAATCGAACAAAACTGGGGGAAAATGCTATGATGTGCTCTGTCTATGCCAAGATAATACATGATTTGTACTTACGCCAAGGAGTACTCTGGTGTAGAAGAATTTTGGTGGGATATCATATGCAAGATAGTACCACCAAAAGAGGAAGACATTTAACCCCAGCCACACAAGCTGAAAGAGAAACGAACAGGAAACTTTACAGTTTGTTCTTAGAGATTATACATCTGAATTTACGCAGTTCAATAATGGTCACTTAGCTCATTGTGCTCCTGTTTGCAGAGAGAGGCATACTGCAGGGTGTAAAGGGTTCAGCAAGGGCGACAGAAATTTTTCTGGTGGAAATGAGCTCTGATGTGTGCACACAGGAGTGGCAATAAACCAAAACACAGCAATGGGTAGCTGAAACTTTTGCATAGCTCAAGGAATTTAGACATGATTGTATAAAGACCATCATATTACGGGTGTTTAGCTAAGTCTGTGAGTCAGTTGAATCTCCAAACATCATTAAAGGTTAGGGCCTCTTCCAAATGGCAGTTCCTCAGACATATAAATATAAAGACCGTCATATTACAGGTGTTTAGCTAAGTCTGTGAGTCTAGTTGAATCTCCAAACATCATTAAAGGTTAGGGCCTCTTCCAAATGGCAGTTCCTCAGACATATAAATCTATGTAAGAGGAAGACTTAGGAGCTGTGCTAAAGGACAAAGAAGCTTGAGTTCTAAATAGAGATGGCTTAAATTACACGTAGGGCCTAATTGAGTAGGAGGTTCTGAAGGTCTGAAATCAGCCAGGAGGAAATATTCACTACAGGCACGCTGGTAGTGTTTAGACTGAGCTTCTTTGTGGCTGTACTGCAATATTCTCTCACAATTGCACATCCTATGGCGCAGGTTTCTTTAGGGGAAGAGAAGTTATTAGCCATTCTCAAAGCTATCTAAAGCAGCTACAAGCCCACCCAGCCAAAGAGATCATAGTGAATCTGGGCGTTTGCCCTTCCAGAGCTGGTTGACTGCTTTCACATCCCATAGTGAACCCAATCGGTATCAGTGCACCCTCAGCCTAAGCAGATTTACTCAATGGTACGTGAAAACAGGAGAGAAAGTCTAAGAACTGGGAGAAAACCCAGTCTCTGGTTATAAGTTAAGGATGCCAGAAACTGTGACATTACAGTCCCTCACCCCTCCCAACCCATATGTTTTGCTAGTTCTTTGGCCCAGCTGACACTGTAAAAAACTTGGGATTAGTTTAGATCTTGAAAATGTCTTACCCTTGTGGCATAAATACAGGGAAATGAAGGGATTTCCATCAGGGTAGGGCAGTACATGGGAAATCCCCGAATCCTCATTAAAAAAACAAGCTCATCTCAGCATTAAATGCTTAGGATGCACATTTAAAGTGAGAGTGTGTCACTCCCATGTACGGTAGCCTGACAGCATGCCCAGAAGACCAAGATGTTTGGCATGATCCTTGACGGTCTCTCCCAGTTCTTCTTGGTGTTGACCCATATGGAACGTGGACCCTTTGAAAATCACTGTGACTCCCTCTGGCAACTTCGGTTGAGCTGCAGGGTCAGCAGCCATCCATGCTCTTGAGCTAGGGCCAGTGGAGACAGCATAGGCTGGGGTTAAGGCTCCCATGGTTCTGTTTTGTTGAGGGACATCAATAGAAATGGTTTGCTGTCCTGTTTCTGCCAAGCACTGGACAACCCTGTACCTGGGCAGGGTGCAGCAAAGCTGTAAAGGGCAATGCGGAACCCTTCGGTAAGGCTGCCAGTGAACTGGGTACCTGGTCAGGGTGCAGCAAAGCTGTAGAGGACAATGCTGAACCCTTCGGTAAGGCTGCCAGTGAACTGTCCTTTTAGCTGGTTTCTTTATCAGTGACTTGGCTAGTTTCCTTCCCTATTAGCTGACCTTGTTCTAGCTTTGAAACTCTAAAACCAAATTCCCTATTTGAACAAAATAAGGGCCTCTGACTTTTAATTCTTTTAATATTTCAGTTCTGGTGGGAAAAAAAAAAGAAGACAGAATTCACCTCTTGGCAGTTTCAACTTCCTCAAGTCACTGAAGGTGACAGCAAACAAAATTATTCCTTTTCAAAGCACTGAAGCGCCAGGGTTATGTTTCTAAACTAGAGCTAGAATGTAATATGTAAGTATTGATTGTTCATAGCAGCAGAAATACTTTTTTTAATAAAGATGTTTACATTTCAGTCACCATAAATACATAAGTTCTATGTCTTCTTCTCAGTATTTACGCCTACCAACCACACTTGGCAACAATACCTTAACTGGTATTACATTTTGGTGTTGTATATGTTTTTATACATAGATATATATATAATTGTATACCTATAGCTCTTGTGTCACACTGTGAAGTGAAAAAAAACCCAACAACACTGAAATACTGACTTTTGTCTAAATTTTCTCCAAGGAGGACTGCCCTGCTTTACTCTTTAGCACTTTTAAATGCAACTGGGATTTTCAGTACTTTTAAATCTTGCTCAGAATTAATTTAACCTACTTTCACAGCTGCCCTATGCAAGCTGTATACAAACTCAATTCAAATACTAGTTGTCTTAATGAAAGAGTCATTAATCTCTTCTCTAAATTCTGGAATCTGACTCTAATACAAATTTTCTACCATCAAGACGCTGTGCTTTCAGTTACACCCACTTTTGTTTATAAAAGTGCAAGAAAGGGTGGTTGTTGTAATTGCTTTCTCTGTTGAAGCGCACATAGTTAAGTGAGATGTAATGTTATTTGTTTTCCTTAAGTCACTGTTGCATTCAAAATTCCCAGATACTTAAATATTTCTAACAAAGCAAATGAAAGTTAACATGCAATAATTTCTCAGTTGACAATGAAGCCTACAGCAATCGAGATACCAGACAGAGCTCCTTACAAATTATTCTCATGAAGCGTTTCCCTGCCCTCGCTGCCCTAGTTTCAGCATAATCAGATGCATCGCTCACCGGCGCAGCGAGAACTGCTCAATACAACTTTCTGTAGAACTTTTTACTAGACACAAATCACAATAAAAATTGTACTTACAACGACGAAGATGGACAGTCCTTCATTCTCCACCCAGTTACCCATGATTGCCCGAGACGAGCGTGGACAACGGCCCCGTTGTTTCTGGGACAGCGTCTATGTCTTCTCTCATAAGGAAGTGAGAGCAGAAGCTTGCAGCAACCTGTTTCCTTTCTCATTCATTTAGGAAATAAGTTAACCATTGAATCGTGTCCATCGTTCTGTTTCAAACATGTTTCTACTGTCTTTACATAGAACTTTTCATAACTCAAATATATATAAATTGTTGAAAAAGATTGGTTTTTTCCTTGTGATACAGAGGATAAAAATAAATAACATAACCGCTCAAGTTTTCTGCTAAAAAATCTATTGCCACTTTATATAACTTTCAATGCTGAAAGGTAATGCAGAATGCACAGAAGAGTTCTCTCTTCCCAGCCTTCTCTTTTTTTATCGCCTCAGGT